GACTTTAGCGTTAGTCGAGCATGTTTGGAAGCATTCACTTTCGGAGCTCCGCGCGGAGCTTCGGGATCGGCGCGGGCTGCCCTCCCTCCCCCCTGGCGCCTCCGCGCGCCGCTCGCGGCGCGCCTCTCGACGCGTCGGGGAGGGAGGAGATCCGGCGCAGGCCCCAGGGAAGCCCGCGCGGCGCTGCGCAGGCCAGGGCTGAATCCAAACGGTGGTTTTCGTTTTCGTTTTTGAGTTTTCGTTTCTCCTCGCTCTTGCCTCGAATCCGCCTTTGTACCGCAACACGAAGTCGAAACGACAACGGCCCACGAAATCACCAAGAACACCGTGTAGGCCAGCCCTGGCGCAGGCTCCTGCTCCATGCCGCGGTTTGCTCTTCGCAGATCGGGGCGTCGCACATGTTCCTGGCCCAGTTGGGCCCCCCCGCCGCGTCCAGGACCAGGTTCCAGTCCAGCCACGCGGTCATGCCGCAGGACAGGCTGCGGAGGATCTCCTCGCAGTACACCTCGCCCCGGTCCCAGTCGCCTGGGCTCGGGCCCAGGCAGGGGGGGCTGAGAGACTTGGCGAAGCCCGCGCACATCTCGGTGCAGACGAGGATGGCGTCGCCGCGGTCGGCCTGGGCCAGCAGCTGCCTCGTCTCGCGGATGAGGTGGAACGTGTCCCCAGGCAGAACGCTCCTGGAGGAGCAGAACACGCAATGGTTCGGTGCGGGAGCCACAATCTGTGCATCGCAGTTCGGGTTCCTCCCGTCTGTGTGTGTGTGTGTCTCTGAGTGATAGAGGTCTCAGTCTGTGTCGACTGAGCGTTCCCTGGCGGCTCCCCCTTTTAAAGCGCCCAAGAGCTACACCTGCTGCATGGGAATGATGTTTGTTGACTCTGAAAGTGACTACCTACCAGACCCCCCCAACCCAACCCGAAGACCCCGATTTCGGGTGGGGGGGGGTACGGGTTCCATATGTGTTTTTTTCAGTGTTCCCCGACCCCCCCCAACTGGAAATGGAGGGCAAATTGAGGCCTTCGGGTTGGGTTGGGGTGGCTTGGTGGCCTGCGAGAAAGGAGGGAGGTCGGGGGGGTGATCAGACATACGCTTTCGGAGTTCTGCGCGGAGTTCCGAAAACGTATGTTTAGGCAGCTTTTTGCCCTTCGAGCTCCACAGGCCGCCCAACTGCCACAGATAGTCTGTCCAGCCGGCCCCGCCGTACGGCTTCGGAGGGTACTGGTACCAGTGAAAGCCGATGCCCCCGATGCACGCCAGCGCCTCCGGATCCTCGACCAGCCTCCCGACGAACTCGGGCATGTCGAGCCGCTGGTCGTCGTGCGCGACGATCAGGACCTCGGGGTGCGCCGCTGCCATGGCCGGCCCGAGGAACTGGCCTCTGACAGAAGAGCGAAGAGCTGCATCAGCATACATTTTCGGGGCTCTCTGCGCGAGCTTCCTGGGTCGGCACCGGGGCCCACTGCTGATCCAAGAGCAAGAAATTCGCGCGAAACTCAGAGCCTTTATGTTTCTGCCAGTTTTTCTCCTTCGAGAGGAGCTGGCCTATAAACCGGAGCATCTCGCCAGTGTCCCAGAACATTGTCTCCCAGGTCTGTCTAAGCACCGACGGCAGCTCGTTCGGCTCGTTCTGCGGCGTGACGGCCCAGACGGGCAGGCCGCAGTCCGCGTAGGCGGACAGGAAGCTTACGAAGTACCTGGCCCAGGCGCTGTAGACCTCTAGAAGAATAATAATAAGCATAATAATAGCAGTAATGATAATACTACTGATGATGATGATGATGATGATGATGAGGAGGAGGAGGAAGAGGAGGAGGAGGAGGATGAGGATGAGGATGAGGATGAGGATGATGATGCTGATGATGATGATGATGATGATGATGATGATGATGATGATGATAATGATGATAGTAATACCACGAATAACAATAGCAACAGTAACCATACTAAGGAGAATAAGACGGGACAAATAGCAATAATACGAAGACGACTGAGGATAGCAATGCGAATCATGCGAATAACAAGAAGATAACACCACGAATGGCAATACTAACACTTGGAAGGATCATCAGCCGCATCGGCATGAACCTACACTCTCGAAATCTCGGGGGCGGATCTCTTGGACCGGCGCTCCACCCTCCCCCCCCCCCGGCGCGCGGAGCCGCGCCCGGGGGGGCGGCGCCTCCAAAGGGGGGGGGGCCCCAGTGCCGAGCCACCAGAACTCCCCAGGGACTCCCCGCAAGTTTGCGCCAGGCTCGCGTCGCGACGGCACGGGCGTTTCTTTTCATCCGCGATCCCGCTCCTCCTCCCCCTCCCCCCCTCCCCCTCCTCCTCCACCTCCGCTCTCCTCCACTCCTCCCCTCCTCCCTCCTCCTCCTCCTCCCTCTCCTTCCTCCTCCTCCATCCTCCTCCTCCTCCTCCTCCTCTCCATCACTCCTCCTCCTCTTCCTCCTCCTCCGCCCTCCTCCTCCTCTCCTCCCTCCTACCTCCTCCTCCCCCTCCTCCTCCCATCCTCTCCTTCCCCTCCTCACCATCCTCCATCCCTCCTCCTCCTCCTCCTCCTCCTCCTCCTCCGTCTCCTGCCCCCCCCCTCCTCCTCCTCCTTCTCCTCCTCATCCCTCTCCTCATCCTCCTCCTTCCCCCCTCCTCACTCCTCCTCCTCCCCTCCTCCTCCCTCCTCCTCCCATACCTCCTCCTCCTCCTCATCCTCCTCCTCCTCCTCGACCGCCTCCGCTCTCCGCCTCCCTCCTCCTCCTCCTCCTTCCTCCTCCTCCTCCTCCTCCTCTACTCCTCCTCCTCCTCCCCCCCTCCTCCGCCTCCTCCTCCTCCCTCCTCCTCCTCCTCCTCCCTCCTCCTCCTCTCCTCCTCCTCCTTCTCCTCCTCCTCCTCATCCGCCTCCTCCTCCTCCTCCTCCTCCTCCTCCTCGTCATCCAGAGTCCTCCTCCTTCGCCTCCCCCCCCCCTGAGGCTGCCTCTGACGGGGACGGCAACGCGGCAGCAAGGCGCAGACGGGCCGCACCCCTGCGAGGGCCAGTTGACACCGTGGGCTGGCCACGGCAGTGTGCATCCTGCGCAGGAAGTTCTTGGACGATCGGCGGCTTCTCGATGGCCAGACCGTCGGGCCGAGCCTGGGCCACGTGCGCCGCTCAACCTTGCACGCCCGCGTTGGGGCCGCGGCCGCGTAGACACGACGCGAACCTACCAGGTCGGTTTTCGGGTCGTAGCTCGGGTCTCTGCCCGCCGTTCGTTCTCCGGCGAGGCGCAGCTGCTGGAAGGCACCCCGAGGCAGGAAAGCCGCGGAGAGCCGACGAAGACCCACGCAAACCTCGAACCTCGAACCCTGAGAACCTGGCGCGCATGTCAATGTTTTTTTCCCTTCTTCAGACCTCGTCGTCCCGCCGCAGTTCCCCGCCAACAAAGCCCTTGCCGGCGGCGCGCCCACGGGGGGGAAGCGCGAAGGAGCAGGCCTTCTCAGAAGGTGGCGGGGCTCCTCCGCAGCCCTCGCGTCTCCTGACGAGCCTTCTGCGCCTTCGGGGGGAGCTCCGAAGCCGTGTCTCAGAAGGCCCGAGGCCTTCCGAGCCTGCCGAGAAGGGCCGCCCCTTCGGACGCCCCCCTTGGCCTCGCCGCCGACCTTGTTGCGCGTCTTCATCCACGGCGGCGCCGTCCACGGCGAGGCGACAATCTTCAGCGGGGCCCCGCGCGCCGCAGCGGCCCTCCGCAGCCACTCCATGCGCGCGCCGTCCTCGGGCGCGAGGCCGAAGGCGGCACACTGCAGGTCCCCGCCAGGCTCCACGTAGGTGTAGCTCCTCCCATCGACAACGGCAGGGCTGGAGGTTTTCGTCCATTTTCGTGGGTCCTCCGCGGCCTTCCAGCCTCGGGATGCTCTCAAGCAGCTTCGCCTCGCCGAGAGCGTTCCGGGGATGCCCGGATCGTCCCAAACTGCCACCAGCGGCCCGAAAGATGGCCCGAAAGCCACCAGGGGCCGGGCTCAGGAGGGGAAACGTCCACCTGGAGTCGACGATGCATCCCCAATAGATCGGCCGAAGGCCCACGAGAGCGAATCTGCATGTCCCCAAGCGGAGCGGGCTACTGGACCCCTATCGGCGATCCATGGGCGATTGGGGGCCGATGTGTCCCTCCCCTGAGCCTATTCTCCCATACACCATGCGAGATGCTGAAGAAATCATGGGTTCAGAAATTCAGAGTCTCAGAACTTGAATAAAAAAAACCCAGCATTTCTATTAAAAGCTTAGGATCTACATTGAATCATTAAGAATAATCGAGACTCTGGCCGAAAGCTTAAGTTTTCTTAAGCATCGCCTGAGGTGTACCGTTGCCCCTGATCCTCTCGCAGAAGTCGCAGGAGGCCATGTGCACCCTCTGGCCAGGGCCTGCCACAGGCGCTCCCAAACATCCAACGCCTTGACACAAATCAAGACGGAAGCTTTTGGTCGTTTTCGGCCTCAATGGGGCCCTCGCTGGGCCCCGGGGACTATCAAACAACTACTCAAGACACAAAGCCAGCCCTGGGGAAAAGGTCAGGACTTTCGGGTGCCCCGTACTTGGACAAAAACGAGGGCATCGGATGTATGGGCTCCCGGCCCAGCGTGTCCCCAGCTTTCCGCGCCTCTTCCGATCCCCCTGGGGGGGCCCTCGGGGCCCCTTGTGAGGGGTGCTCCTGAGGCACTGGGGGCCGCTGGGAGCTCCTGGGGACACTCGGAGCCAAGGGCACCTTTGGCATCACCCAGCCTGGTGAGGGAGTAGCCCATGCCCTCGGGGCTGAACATCCACTCGACCGCTGCCTGTGGAGGAAGAGAACGCAGCATACCTATACGACAACCCCTCGGGTGATAAGGAGGTTGGGGGGAGGAGAACGAACCAACTGCTGGCAACTGCGGTGGGTGTGATGATGACGATGCTGATGGCGCGCCCTCGAGCTCACTATCGATCTGCCGCTCGCACGATCGATGCAAGTGCCGACACCAATATCGACCTCACAATCGATCCCAAAGTCGATCTCACTATCGATCTCACCACATCTCGGTCGTTATCGATCTCATTATCGATCTCACTATCGATCGGTCCACCTTCAGGACACCACGGCGGGACACCGCGGGACACCCCGGGACACTATGGGACACCGCGGGACACTACTGAGACACCGCGGAACACTACGGGACACCACGAGACACCATCGGGACACCACGGCGGGACACCGCGGGACACCATCGGGTCAACGCGGGACACCACGGCGGGACACCCCCAGCCACGGCGCGCCCACCAGAGGGCCGGACTTTTGCATCCGAATCGCCCTAGCGACGGCGGGATCATTCCTCTCGCGCGACCACGGCGAGACACCGCGGGACACCATCGGGACACCGCGAGACACCACGGCGGGACACCCCCAGCCACCGCGCGCCCACCGGAGGGCCAGACTTTTGCATCCGAATCGCCCTAGCGACGGCGGGATCACGCCTCTCGCGCGCCCACGCAGTTGAGCCTCGCCCGCACGCACGACACGAGCACGAAACCGAAACCGTTTTCCGGTCGGAGGGCCCGTTCCACTGCGATCTCATCCCTCGCTCCAGCTCCTCCTCCTCCTCCTCCTCCTCCTCGCTCCTCCTCCTCCTCGCTCCTCCCCCTCCTCCTCCCTCCTCCTCCTCCTCCTCCTCCTCCTCCTCCTCCTCCTCCTCCTCCACCTCCGGCGCATAAACTTTCGGAGGTCCGCTCGGATGCCCTGGCTCGGCGCCGGGCTCCGCCTCCCCGGCGCGCGGAGCCTGCCGAGAGCCGGCCGCGGGGGGCCCAGCGCCGATCCGAGAAACCCGCGCGGACCTCCGGCAGTTTTCATGCCCTTCTTCTGCGAGCCTGAGCGCCACTGGCCCTGCAGAGGTGATGACGATGATGATGATGATGATGATGACGATGATGATGATGATGATGATGATGATGATGATGACGATGACGATGACGATGACGATGATGATGATGATGATGATGATGCTGACGATGCTGATGATTATGAGCCTGATGATTATTATGATGATGATGCTGATGATGATGATAATGATGATGATGCTGATGATACTGATGGTGGTGGTGGTGATGATGATGATGACCATGCTCATCCCGTGTTCCGCCTGAGCGTCGCTGGCCCTGCAGAGGTGATAACGATGTTGTTGACGATGATGCTGATGCTGATGCTGATGCTGATGCTGATGCTGATGCTGATGCTGATGATGATGATGATGATGATGATGATGATGATGATGAGAGTCAGGATGATGATAATGATGTTGATTATGATGATGATGATGATGATGATGATGATGATGATGATGTTCATAATGATGCTGATGATGATGATGCTGATGTTGCTGCTAATGATGATGACGATGGCGATGACGACGACGATGATCATGATGACGACGATGATGATGCTGATGACGATGACGACGATGATTATGATGTAGATGATGATTGTGATGATGATGACGACGAGGATGATGCTGATGATGCTGCTGATGATGCTGCTGATGATGCTGATGCTTATGATGATGCTGATGCTGATGCTGATGCTGCTGCTGCTGCTGCTGCTGATGATGATGATGATGATGATGATGATGATGATGATGATGATGATGGTGGCAACGTTCATGCCGTTTTCTGCCTATGCCCTCCCCTCCTCCTCCCGCTTCCGCCTCCTGTGACCCGCCTGGGTCTGTAATCTAGTCGCGCTTCTTTGCCCCCCACCCGACAGGCTGGGGCCGCTAGATCTTAAGAGCAAGCCCCCCGGCCGGCCCGCCCGCCCTGCATACCGCGGCCGCCTGATCCCCGGGTCCCGATGATTCCTGGTGGTCCCGTCCCCTCCCCGCCCGCCCTGCATACCGCGGCCGCCTGATCCCCAGGCTCCCGATGATCCCTTGTGGTCCGACCCCCCCCCTGCCCTGCATATCACGGCCGCCAGATCCCCAGGCTCCCGATGATCCCTGGTGGTCCCGACCCCCGCGCCGACTCGCCCACTCTGCATACCGCGGCCGCCATATCCTCAGAACCCCCACAGAACAGAGCATAACAACATACCACCGAACAGAGCATATCCGATCGTTACATACCGTATCATGGCAGACCGGATCGTAACATGACACGCCACGACAGAGCAGTGCATGCCATAGTACAGTATCTCAGCACATATCGTTACACAGCATGCCAAAAGCATGCAGACCATAACATATCAACGCAACACACATCATACCAAACAAAAACATGCCACATCATCACATAACATGCCGTACCATTTTATAACACAACACATCATAACAACGCATGCTATGACACATCGGATAACACATAACATACCATAGCAGAGCATGTCGCAACATGGCAGAACACCGGCCGAGACCACAGCGCCCCGCGCACATCCTTCCAGTGAGCGCGCGCACCTGCGGGAACCAACGCCGAAGGTTTCGGTGGGGAGCGCTCGCAGCAGCAGAGTTGCCGCTTCCGGTT